GGAAAATGTACAGCACCTTTCCTATAGGTATTGCAGTACAGATAAACAACAGACTGACAGAAGTCTCTTAGGAAAGGGCAAAATCAGAAGCTCAGGTTGGTGGATCAGCATGTAGCCCATGGATATTTAGGTTTCCTATGGGGCTACAGCAATATCTACAACATCCTGGCGTACAATCATGATGCTGCAATCTACATGTGGCTTCATCTCCCCTCAATCAATACATTTTGGTGACAGCATTGAGCTGTGACATATCCTGGGCTGCATGTCACCTGCATGTCTGTCTCCTCACCTTCTCCCCAGACTTCTCCTCTCCTTGTTGTCATCCTCCACGCAGCTGCCTTTCCTCCCACCCTTTCTGCTAACTGTCCCTTTCCTTTTGGCAGGTGGCTCAAAAGAGCTCTGTGCTCCTGTCACATGTAGGGAAGCTTTTTCTCACCCCGTACTGGAGTGTTTTGTGGGGATAATTAACTGTGAAAAGCATCACCCTTGGTGGAGGGCAGAAGCTTAGTGGAACAACTCATTTAAAGTCTTTGCATGGACTTCCCTTCTTATACACACAGAAGAATACACCCTTTTTACAGAACCTCAGCTCTCCCCAGAGTTGAGTCTTGGTGCATATCAGCAGAAACATTAAAAGATATTCTCTGGGTTGATATCCATGGTGGGATGCTGGTGAGAGACTGGGCTAACGGTGGTTGATAAAACCTTGAAGATTTGATGTGCAGTTGATGGAAAGACTTTTGGTTTCAGAGATGAAGATCCAACCTGTCAGACAGCATGTGTTCACTGACAAAATAGTTAGCATGTTTTGCCGCAATTAAATAGCCTATAAATAGCTGTGCTGCATAAGGAATATATTCTCATCTACATAAAATGCAGTTGATGTATGTTCAGAAAGACCTCATTGTAATCTGGATTTCTATGCGAGGCTTTCCTGTAGAAGCGGAAAAAGATCTTAAATTCTTAAAACCATGTTCCTTTTTTTCAGTGGAAATGCAAGTGTCAAAAACCTCAACTGAAAGCTGAACTATCTAGGCATTACGTGATAGAAATACCAGTGGAAAAAAAAATATATATATATATATATTTTCTTCCTGAAAATAGGCAGTTTACACACCAAGTGCAATTTTCATTGAAACACCATTTTGTTTTGGAGCAGGGGTTTCACAGAAAAATTTGCCTTTGATATAAGAGAAGGAGGTGAAAAAAAATGGTATTTGTTACATGAATACTAACCACTCTTTCTTTCTTTCTCTTTCTCCTTTCTTACACTTTCCTCCTCTTGCAGCAAGAAAAACAGCAGACACCAAACAAGAGACCCTGGGAAGGAATCAGGAAAGTCCAGTCCCCACCATCATGGGTTAAAAAGGACATCGAACCTGTGGCACAGTCTCCCCTAGAACTAAAAACTGTAGAGTGGGAGAAAACAGGAGCCACCATCCCCCTGGTGGGACAAGACATTATTGACCTTCAGACAGAGGTCTGAGAGGAAAGGGAAGAAAAGGACTTTTTCTTTTTCTTTTTTTTTTTTCTGAAAAACAAATGAAACAAACAAAACAAAACCACGTTTTAAAGAAAAGATTAAATTAAATCGGAACCGAGCGAGAGAAGTGTTTGGTTTCTTTTGAAACCTTTGATAAGACAAAGTAACTTTTGTATTGTTCTCAGCAGAGAGGGGGAATATTACTTTATAGAGTATAGTAGCTGTAGGTTCAGGACAACACGAGCTTTCCCAGGTAGGACTGGAGAAGAAGTGAACCTGGAAGAGATCGAGGAGGAGGCAGAGGGTGGGGAGGGGCTGCAGGGGACAAGTCCTGCCGAGATGCTTTCGGGCTACTGCAGCACTCCAGAACCCTTCCTGCTCTGCCATGGGGAGGTGTGGAAGGACTCCCAGCAGCCACTGCGAAGGGCCAAGAAGATCAGGGTTGTTTGTGGACAAGAGAGGACACCTGCGGGAGCCTTGCTGGGATGCAATCCGGCCGTAGATCCCAGAGGGAGAGCCAGCCTTGAGGATCTGTGGCATCCCTCACCGATCCTTGCCCCTCACCTCTCTCTCATCAGCTCATCCAAGAAGGAAGGAAATGGGATGTGCCAAGCAGTGGCCAAGAAGACATTCCCACTCCTGTGTGCCACACCATGACCTGGCATCCTGGCATCCCCACAGTGGATCCCCACGGGGCTCAGAGGGGGAAGTGGTGGCATCGTCCATGGCTTAGGGTGGAGAGATAAGGTGGGGCTTCTTCCTCTCATCCCTTCACAGTGGAGCTTTTGCGTGCCCTAAGGAGTGGGACAGGAGCAAGAGGAAAGGACCACCTCCAAAACTTGCTCTCCCAGTCTCCAGAGAGAGGGTCGAAGGTGTTAGAAACACAGACCAACAGAAGAATGTAGGTCGTTTCATTGACTGTTAAATAGATAAACTCAGCACGGGCCTTGCGAAGGTCCTCTTGGCCTCATCCTTTTTTTTTTTAATTATTATTTTATTTTTTCCTGTTATTTTTCCTTGCTTTCGGACTCAGATTTATTCCAAGCTGCCCCTCCCTGGAAGGCAGAGAGAGAAAGAGGGAAAGACAGATCTGCCAATGTACCTGGAGATATTTGGTATACAGAGATGTTGCCTTAGGACATTGAGACAAACTGACAACATGAATAACGTCCACTTGGAAAAAAACAAACAAACATACAAACAAAATAATCTATTTTTTTCCTTCTTCTTTTCTTTTCTTCAATAAAAAGAGAACTTGAAACCCGAGACCTTTCTTTTCTTTGGCTCTTGTCATTTCAAATGCCTTTCTGTGCGTAGGACTATACAGGCATGGGGTGAGGATGCCACCTGCTGAAGGTGGAAGGCAAGTTGCTCCGTGGAAAGTTTGGGATGGTGGGAACACACAGTACCTTCACTGCTGGCTTGCAATGTTTTGCTTTCTTTTATTCAGTTTGGGTTTTGGTTATTTACCCCCCTGCTGGCTCTTTTCCTCCCTACCCACTGGCCAGAGCCAGCAAGCAGGTTTGTGGTTCTACAGGAAGGAAAACGTGGAGCTGATCAGGAAAATAGGACATTCCTCATCATAAAATACTGTCATTTTATTTCACCATGAAAACAAATATGAATGATTTTTTTTTCATTAAACATTTCTCAAGGCTATTTACAAAAAAAAATAAGATATTTACATTTCACCCCAAAAAGTGTTGTGCAATATTTTTATGATTAAAAAATATACCACTGATGTTACACACAGACTTCATTATTTTTTATTTTCTTTTTTACCACTCCCAGCACTGTCTGTTTGATGTTTGGAACAACTCACCCAGTTTTGGAGATGTGAGGTGACAAACCTCTGGTTGTGAGCAGCCAAATTCTGCCAGACAGCAGTAAACATTGATCAGGGTCTGAGTTATTAAGTTGTTACTGTGTATTTGGATCTCCTTTTTAAAACAAAACAAAACAAACAACATTTTTAGGAAAAAGTTAACAATGGATAATGGATACAAGATGCAAAACAACCACTGACCCCAGTTGTGCTTCTCCACTGAGAGATGTTGCTTGACATGCAAACATCTCTGCTTCATCTTTCCTTTGGGCCAGCTGGGTAATCTTAAAGGACAGTGGCATTTATCTTGCCATGAACTGTATAATATGAAGAATGGAAAGAAAAACTTTAAAAAAAAATCCAAATAGTAAAAAAAAATAGGAAAACTGATTACTTATAAAAACTGTGATATTATTGTTCAATTTTAGATTATTCTATGAAACAGGAAAGCACAAAGGCCTCCCTCAGATGCCGGGTTGTATGATATTGTAATTATTATAATTACACATTATGAATTTTAGCATACAGATATCTTTCTACTGTGTTTTAATTCTTTTATCTTTTTTTTTTTCCCCTGCCCGACTGAGCCTGCCCTTTTCTCTACAACCTTCCCCATTCACCCATTCACTCCAGCCGACCTGCAGGACATTAGCGGTGTTATGTAATTACAGAGATAAATGTTTGTTTAATAACTTGTTAATATTCAACTTTCTCTGCTCAGCTCCTCCGGTTAATTCTGGTTTTTCCATGCCCTGTCCTACCCCATGCCATGCCTTCCCCTCCCTCCTCTCTGTGTTCATCATTTTTTTTAATTATTTTTATTTTTTTCTGTACAGTTTTCAGAGCACAAAATGAATGTGTCTTATTTCTAATAAAAGAGGTGTAAACTCTAGCCATGTCTGCTTTTTAAAAGCGCCCCTGCCCACGCCCCACATGTGGTTTGCATCGCACCTGGGTGTTGGGAAACACCTCTCCTACATCTTCAAGCTGCCTCTTTGGCTCTATACTCTGGAAGAGCCATAGTCCAAGACCAAGCTTGCCCCACAAGTACATCTTTTGCTTTTAGTTTTGTAACTTAGAATCATAGAATCATAGAATGGTTTGGGTTGGAAGGGAACTTAAAGATCATCCAGTTCCAACCCCCCTGCTATCAGCAGAGACACCTTCCACTAGACCAGGTTGCTCAAAGCCTCATCCAACCTGGCCTTGAACACTTCCAGGGAGGAACAGCCACAGCTTCTCTGGGCAACTTGGGCCAGTGTCTCAACACTCTCACAGTGAATAATTTCTTCCTAATGTCTAATCTAATCTAATCTTCCAGTTTGAAGCCATTACCCCTCATCCTATCACTAACTACCCTTGTAAAAATTCCCTCTGCAGCTTTCTTGGTTGGCCCCTTCAGGTACTGGAAGGCAACTTCTTGACTTTCCAAAAAATACCTCCTCTTATGATGCACTTTTCCAGGGCAAGAGGAATTCCCTTTTCTGTGCAGCGGAGCCTGCTTTTAAGCAGGTATCTCTAACCCAAGCCTTGATGCCCTCTTCCCATTTTATGATGTGAGGGGTCCAGTATTCAACACAAGTCAAGCAGCGTTACTGGTAGAAGGCAGCAGTGCTGGGATATAGCTTCTAACAAGACCAGGGTGATGCTGATGCTACCTCACTTGCATACCTGCAAAATCAATCTCAACCTTACTTGGATTTCCCTGCCATCTCCTGCATTACCGGGCAGACTGTGAGCAGGAGCACAGCTCATAGCACGAGGGGGTTAAGGTTATCACTCATGAAAGATGACAGGAAATTAATTGAGGTAGGGATTATTCACTTCCTTGGCGCTTACCCTTGAATGACTGAAATCGTCCGGCAAGAAAATGTGTCCTTATCTCCCTGACTTTACTCCATCACCTGATTGACAGTTTGTAGGTTTATAGGCAGGATCAGAGGCAGCTTAGGGGTCTAGCAAATCAGATCCAGGACTGCTACTCTCCAGATCTTTGATCCAAAGCCATCATGGCCCAGTAGGTCCCCAAGTGCAATGACTTCTCTTGACCTGGCTGAAATGAATTAGATATTCTGAAACATCTGAAAAGATTGCTGAGGCATAGGTCTGCCCAGAGCCTCTTAGCCCCATCCCCTTATCCCTGAGCCATCATCCAACCCTTCTTCAATCAGCAGTGCCTAATGGTGAGTCTCAGGGCTTTTCCATACTTTCTACAGGGATTTTTCTTGCCCTGTATCTCCCATACCATTATTTTATAACATTAGCAGGTAGAAGGGAAATACTCACCACCAGACATGAGGTGATGGGCTGGGAGGGCAGGAGACCCCAAAGCTCAGATCACAACCCTAGAGATGAGTCAGGAGGTCCTGCTACTTCTCATCAAAGGGAGCTGGAAGGAGGGAGGACTTGTCCCCACTGTGTTCACAGGACCGTAAGTAACAGCACTGCCAGAGGTGGGGGACGCAGGAGGTCAGGGTATGTACAGGTGGTTTCCTTTTGTACTGTGGTCATAATGTGATGTGGTTGCAAGGGAAGGTCATGGGATAGTTCAGCTTAGAAAGGACCTCCTGGGGTCTCCTTGAACTGTCCTACAACCCCGTGATCCTGTCTTGTAGCCACTCCAGGCTCTAGCCATAGGACAAACAGAGAACACTTGTACATACACCATGATCTCACAAGGAGGAAGCACAACCACACTGTGCCAGTGGGTAAATTGTGTTTTGCACAATTAAAAAAAAGACTGCATTAGAAAATTGAGAAGAATCTGAAGACTGAAGAAAATGCAAAGCATCTTCTCTGGGCTGCCTATATAGGAAAAGGCTCATGTAGAGCAAGATATCATTTCTGGAAGATCTGGGACCAGGGCAAGAGGTTACTCTCTGTGTTCTATCTATTTTGTGGCTGAAGGGAGTGCTTTGGCTCACTATGCTACTATCTGAGATGTCCATGATGAGGTAGGGTGAATCTGTTCCTGAGCTCCTGTTGTGACAAGATCTAAACAGAGGAGAAAAGAAAGAAAATTACTCTTGGTTGTATTTATTCTTATTTTCCCCAGTCCACTACTCCCTGGAAGAGGTCAGTGTCTCCCCAGGGAAGTGTCTGCCTTTCAGCTTTGAAGCAAATAAAAAACACCTTCAAAGTAGCTTTCAACAGCCTTCTGAGTAAGGAGCCCTCAAGGGATCCAT